CAGCAGCACTACCCCCCCAGCCCGCCCCCCGCCCCTCCCCGGCTCTGACATCACCGGCCAGCCGGGTGGAGTGAGGCGGCGCAGGGCTCGAGCTCGGCTCCGCGAGCGGAAGAGGCGGCAGCAGCGGCGGCGACACAAGCCAAGGAGGAGCTCAGGACGCTGCTCGGGAACCGGGACCGGGAGTGCCGGCGCCCTGAGCGCTCCGCTCCAGAGGCGGTGAGAGGGGCGGAGGGGAGCAATGTCTCCGGGAGGGGACTGAGGTGGAGTCGGGGTTTGGAGGGGTGGCGATCGGGATTCCGGGGGCCGCTTGGGGAAGCATGAGGACCAGACAGGTTCGCTGTGGGTCGGGCCCCCTGGGGTCAATCTCTGTTCGTGCGTCCCGAGAGCCGCGCGCGTCGCTCCGGAGGCAGCGTGGCTTCGACCGCCCCTTCCACGCTGAGCGGGGCCTGGGGACCAGGATGCAGCCTGCTTCCCGCCCAGCTGGCTCAGCCGGCCAGCTCCGGCCCCTCCCTCCCGCCTGGCCGCGGACTCGCCCCCGCTGGCTGGCGGGCGGGCCGGCCGGCTGCTGTCACCCTGTGCCCGCACTCCGGGCTGCTGCACCTGGGGGAGGGAGGAGAAAGGAGCTGAGGGTGTAGAGAAATGATGTCTCTAACGTAAAACCCCTAATTAATCCCACTGAATCCGTGTCAGAACTGACAGGCACAGCACACCTGTAAGAGACAGACAGCACATACAGTGACACACACTCATGTGACTCTTACACACATCGTCTCGCACACACCAAATCACAACTGTCTAGCTCTACAGAGCTAGCTGCCCACCGCAACCCACTGCCGCCCATGTGGTCTCCTGGACTCTGGGCTCAGGGACACTGGTCTGTAGGACAGTTGAGTGGTGGACAGAAGGTCTCACGTCACTGTCCCCAAATCCACTCTATTTCCTGGGCAGCTTTAAAATCCTGGGTCACTCTTCCAGGACAAGGAGACCGGAGCTTTTGCACTTTTAGCTGGGTGAGGAGGGTGGGTCCTGCTGGTGGCTTCTCTTGCTGGTCCAGTTAGAGCTTAGTGTGCTGGGAGGGGCTAGCTTCTGGGCTTCAGAGTGGCCAGGAGAGGAGAAGGGAGTGGAAGAAAGGGAGAGGGAGAAAAAGAATGAGTATGAGTCAACCCACGATGAAGCCCAAGTCAGAGGGAGAGAGAATGACAGGAATGTGAGGAGAGACATGCAGAAAGGGACAGAGAGCCAGAAAGGGACAGACAGTGCCAGGGAACCACGGAAATGGAGGAAGTGAGAGGCAGAGATGGTCAGAAGATGCAAAGAGTGGACGAAAGAGGCACAGAAACGAGGGAGGATGGAGGCAGGTAGTTAGGAGGAATATGTTTGATTTGTGTCTTGTTTGTCCAGGTTGTGTCTGGCCACAGGCTGTCAGAGCTATTAGCATTAATTGCTCTTCCTTTCCTGGATAAACATCCGATGGGGAACCAGCTAGTGATGCCCTAGGCTGCCAGCTTCTCTGGGTCCCATCCCCTTATTTGTGTGACACCTGCACCCATCATGTGTGCACATGTTGTCAAGCATGAGGAGGGTCACAGAATCACAGCAGCTCACTCAACATCCTCACCTACACTGTCAAGGTGGACATCTCCACTAAGAAGTAGGCAGTCACCCACTGCATCTTCAGGCCCCTCCCATTCAACGTAGTCTTTTTCAACGGGGAAGCTCACTCATTCCTAATGGTAGCTCTGAGTACTCAGGTAGGGACATAGAGTCACAGAATCCTGGAGTCCCAGGTGTTCATAGCTACCACCAAAGGGATGGGTGGAGAAAGTGGAAAGGGATGAATGCCCATTGACAGGGAAGGAGGAAAAAAGAGCAGGGAGAGTCCTGGATGAGGAAGAGGCAGAGAAATAGGAGCAGGCTGTGCCACATCAGCTGAGTGGAAACAGGTCTTGTCCTCCTCCTCCTCACCATTAAGCTGCCCTCCTCTGCTTGATCCAGTGCCAGCCATCTCTCACTGCCCCCATCTTGGGCCTTGTCCTTCTCTTAGTCAAAAGGCTTAAGGCTGAGCCTCTGCCCCCATGCCCAGAGGTTACCTGTTTTGCTTCCTGAATATTCTGAGGCCCACATGTCCTGCTTCATCTTACTCCCAGGCTGACCCTAGAGCCAAAGAACTGTTTTCCTTCCTTCCTTTATAGAAGTAAGGCCCCAAGCTGGATAGGAGCTTGGGAAAGAAATCTGTTAAAAGAAATAAATGTACAGGACTGCTTCAGTTTCGGGCCCAGATTTAAAATAGGATAGCTAAAACCCTACTCTCTTCCTTCCCACCCCTCTGCTTGTCCTTGATTACTTCCTGCAACTTCAGGCAGCAAGACAGATTTGAGTGCTTAAGAGCCTCGTCCTGCCCTTTATAGGGCTGTCTGGGCCCTTGCAGCTGTGTGGGATGGCCCCTCCCCTCGGGTTGAGGCAGCTGCAGCAGATGTGAGGGAGGGAGGGGGAGCAGCTCCTAATCCTTCTCCTCCCTTAAACAGATTTGGAACCCAATGCTAATCTACTGCAAATTAATGTTAGAATGCACAGAAATTCTTCTGCTGCTGCCAGCTCCTCCACAGGTGGTTATCCTATGTGCTCCATGCACCCCTCCACCTCTTCTTCCCCCAGTGGCCATGTAGCATCGCCACCTTCCCAATTCCTACCCTACAAGGTCAGTATATGAAGATCCCTACCGCCTGTCCCTCTTCCCCAGCATCCCGAGTTGGTTGCACCCTTGTGAGGGCTTCACCTTGGGCCAGCTTGAGGGAGGAAGGAAGGAAGGTGTGAGGAAGCGGTGAGCAGCTCACAGAATGAGCTGGGAGGGAAGGGGACTGACTTCCTGGCAGCCTCGGCTCCGGTTCCCAGTTCCTGCCCTGGTATCCTGTCCCAAGAATGGCCTCCGCCCAGGCTGCTTGGTGTTCTCTGGGCAGCCCTCTGAGGCAGGCCTCAGAGATCAGGAAGGGTTTCCAGGGCCAGGAGGACAGAAGACTTCTCCATAGGTCCTGAGGAATTGTAAATCTCTGGTGAGGAAAGTGACATGGAGGATAAAGGAGCCACGCTATGCTAAGCCCCACCATGGCCAGACCAGCAAGCAACACACAGTTGATCTGTGAGACTTGAGAGCCATGTACAGGAGATTCCGCCTCCCCGGACCCAGGAGTCCCCCCTAACTATCCTCCCCTTGCCTCTGCTACAACATCTGGGCATGGGCATGGGCATGGGCATGGCAGGAGGAGGTAAGTTAGCCTTTTCTGGCCTCCTCAGGGGCCTATCCCTATTCTTTCTATCCTTTCTTACCACTCCCCACACTCCTCTCAGCTAGTGGTGTTATTGTCCTGCTGACTGGAGGGGGGGGCACCCTGAACTGAGGTTGCTATGGTAACAGCTGAGCTGAGGCTGCAGCCCTGGACTTTGTGCGCTCTGTGCACTCCCCCCACCCATTTACAGCCTCTGTCTCATTCCCTTTCCGAACCCCAGCCTCCCTTCTGTAGGCTCGCTCACCCCTCTGCCTGGGAGCCTGTGGTTGTATACCTTTTTACACCCTCAGCTGGTTCAGACACATACAAACATGCATCCTACACACACTCACAGCCAGTGCACCCACAGCCACACATCCAGTGCTGCCACATTGGCATGTACGTCCATTACCAGAACATCCAAACACACCCACTGCCTCCTCCGCACACTTGTACACACCCAGGGATCAGCATCCATAAACAGGATCCTGACACACAAGCCTCTCCCCCAGCCACATTAACATTCCTACCCTCTTTTCTCCTAGAGGCCTCCTTGTATCTGTTTCACTCTTAGAAAGCTCCTACCTACCACCCCCAGTCTCTGTGGGTGGGTGTGTTACACACATTAATCCCTTCCCACCCACTTCCCCTGTAGATGTTTTAGATTCAGAACCCTAAATCTTAACTCCTCCAAAGAGATTTATACACACACGCACACACGCACTTACGCACACTTTCCTCCCCTTGGATCTCTACTATTTACAAACTCTTCTGTGTGAAAGCAAGGCAGTCAGTATGAACCTAAATTCTGCCCACTTTCCAGCTGAGCGCTGGCCCCCAGGGTCTCCTCCACTGGGCCAGGCAGGATCTTCTTGTCTTTCCCATGCTCTTTCTACTTCTGGCCTCCTCCCATTTTTCATCTCTGGACCCTTTCCTATCATCCCCCTATCATATCCCCTCTTTTCTGTCCTCGGATTATCAGTGGAGGTGGGGTTGGGCTGCAGAGCCTGCTGACATGACCTAGATTTTAAGGCGGAGATGGTTCCTGGTGCTGACAGTCAGAGAGCATTGTTCCTGGCCCAGCCTGGCAGGGCCACCGCTGGGCCCTTCTGTCTGCTTGCACCTGGGTGTGCGAGTTGAATGTGCCTGTGAGTGCCTGTTTCTTGTGGGGGTCGTGCAAGCCCTGCTGTCTGGCTCATTGTTTGTATCACGGTGCCTGCCACCAAGGGAGACTTATTTATTCTGGTCCAAGTAGGGGCCTGGGAATGGGGACTTCGGGGGCCACACCTCTTATTGTGTGATGGTTTGCCTCTCTGCCTCAGTTCCCCTGCAAGAGTCCAGAAGTGAGGGAAATAAAGGTGTGTCAACCTGCCCCTCTGGATCTGCTACATTTGTTGGGGTGATTTGTGGGCAGCCTCACCTAGCTCCTTGCCTATACTTTGTTCTAACCAGTGTGCATGACAAGATTTACTTTTTAAAATGCTTTTTTATTGTATATACTTATAGAAAATAAGTCCTTTTTAAAGAATTTTATTGGTACATTTTAGGTATACAATATACTGACATTCATCACTGGAAATTTGCACCTTTACATAATCTCTCTGTAATAAGTCCTGTTTTGAGCTCACCACAAGAGTTTCACATTTTATTAAATCCACAAAACTCATTCTAAGGTCTGACCTTCTTTCTTCCTCCTAGCCACAGCTCCTATTTTAGTGGAGGGAAGCCTCGAATGTTCTCTACCTTCTCACCTAAGGATCATGAAAAAGAGATGGAGAGAAGGCCTAGGTGAGATCAGGTCTTGCCTGGGCCCAAGCGAGGCCGTACTGAAGATAGTGCCAGCAGGATGTTGAAGAAGGGGTGGCAGTCCCCATCCTGCCACTCTCCCAAAGCTGCATCTAAACTCCCCTCCCCCACCACCCAGCCAGCCTGGGAACTGGGCAGGGGGCCAGAGCCAGCCGCTTGGTATTCCTGGGCGCGGGGGCTGCAGGCGCAGCACAAAGGCTAGGAGACAGGGCTGATTAGGGGCCTAGTAACCATCAAGGGAGAAAATGGGCTCCACAAAAGTGGGGGTTGCCCATTGCTTCCCCCAACCCGAAGCCCTAATGACTTAATACAAGGCTAAGCATGGAGGGCCCCAGGAACTATCAGACCAAGTTTAACTAGGCATCCATCCAAAATGAGTCATTAGTGGGGTGGTGGGAGCTGAAGTGAGGGACCTCTCTGCTTCTGAGGAAGGATGGAAGCTAGAACTCAAGCCTCAACCAACACTCAAGGTCCTCCTTTTGCGCTTCTCACTGCTACAACCTCTCTGGTTGTTGTTTTTGAGTGTTTTTTTTTTTTTCTGACAGGGGGAGGGGTTGCAGGTGGGTGGGGTGATTCTTGGGGGGGGGACTTGGAGACAGCGGGTGAGAAAGTAGGGAGCAGGTTGCCATGGTAACCGCCTCCTCAGTCAGGGGAGCTGTTGCCAGGGTTACTGTTAGAGGGGGAAAAAGAAAATGATAGTGTGTGTGTGTGTGTGTGTGTGGCGGGGGGGTATGACTTGTCACTCTAGGCTCCAGTCTGGCTCCTACCTTCTGAGTTTCTTCCTGCCTATGTCCACTGCCTAGCCTAGGTCCTCCTTTTCTCCCTCCAGTCCTGTCCCCTACTCTGTTCCTAGGCACATGCCTGGCAGGGCAGAGTGGGAGGTGGGTGGTGTCAGTAAGTGAAGCAGACCCTGTACACTAAACTCAAACTCCTTTGTTGCCTCCCAACCCTAGTCATGGCCGAGTACGGGACTCTCCTTCAGGATCTGACCAACAACATTACGCTGGAAGACCTGGAACAGCTCAAATCAGCCTGTAAGGAGGACATCCCCAGTGAGAAGAGTGAGGAGATCACTACGGGCAGTGCCTGGTTTAGCTTCTTGGAGAGCCACAACAAGCTGGACAAAGGTGGGGGAGGGGCTCAAGTCAAATAGACACGATCACGAAGCTCTTACATGGGCAAAGCGCACCTCTCTATGATGAGGCAGAGTGAGAGATGCTTAAACAGATATGTAAGGAGCTCAAAGGCAGAATTTACACATTTTCCATTGTGCTCCTTGTCAGTAAAAAATGTTATTCAGATACTTCTGTGTTATCACATACATAATAGAACACAAAATAGAATTTAGAAGTGGTACAATTAAAAGTGAAAGCCAAGTTCTAACATTTTCTTACTCATTTATAGAGACTATTGCTGGGGTTGGGGGGGGGCTGTTGTTCAAGGGACTAACAGCTTGGGGCTTCAGGGGAGAAAGAGGATTTAAGATGGCTCTGAAAGCCAAGTGGGATTTCTAAGGTAGACTCCAAAGAAGGGCCTGTTAGCCAGAGAACAGTTGCAGAGGTGGGAGCTTGTGGTGTGTTTGGAAAAGCAAGAGCCCTGCTTAGCTTGACAGAGATATTGGGTATGTTTAGAAGTAGCAGGGAAGTCAAGACTGTTGCAGAAGGCCTTGGTAAGAGATATTTGAAAGAGAGTGAGAGACCTCAGGGCCCTTCAGATACACTACTCTGACTGTAGTGTGGGTAAGGGAGCAAGGGTGAAGGAAAAGATATTATAGACTGTATCATAGTGAGGGTGGGAGCCAGAGCGGAAGGTCTGAGGGCGTCTGTAATCTCAGAACTGCAAGCCACGGAGATCCCTGTTCTGGGTGCAGCTGTACCTTATCTCATTTTTAGGAGCCCTTCTCTAAATTGTCTAGAGGTCCCACCCCTCATGTCCCACATGTGCTATTGGGAAATTCTTCCTGATGCTTACTTACAGGGAAAGTAGACAAAGGACAGGGTGGGGTGTAGGGTATGTGGAAGGCAGTTTTCCTAGCACAGTATTGTTGCCGGAGTGTGTTAGCTTTCTTTTCCTGACTTACTTGTCCCTCTTCTGCTGATGTTGCCCCTTCTAATGTGAACATTATTAGAAATGGTTCCCAAACACTGGTCTGGTAGAACAGGGGAAGCTGACTTCTTGGCCCAGGTCTGACCCAGTCTCCTGCCACCTTTCCAGACAACCTCTCCTACATTGAGCACATCTTTGAGATCTCCCGCCGTCCTGACTTACTCACTATGGTGGTTGACTACAGAACCCGTGTGCTGAAGATCTCAGAGGAGGATGAGCTGGACACCAAGCTAACCCGTATCCCCAGTGCCAAGAAGTACAAAGGTGAGAAGCCAGGCCTTTAGTGTAGTTGCACCCTGCCCCCTTCCCCTTGATTATCCTCGGAGTGTATGAATTTTGGGAGAGGTTGATGCCCAGTGGGCCTGCCTGGTGTCTCCAACTTCCATCCCTGGACGCATCCCTTTTTGCCCCCAGACATTATCCGGCAGCCCTCTGAGGAAGAGATCATCAAATTGGCTCCCCCACCGAAGAAGGCCTGAGCAAAGGGGAGGAAGAAGAGGAAGGTTGGACCTTCATCGGACCACTCCCTTCCCCATCCTCCATGGTTATGGGCAAGGGCAACCCCCCATGTACCCACTTACTAACCTGGTCCTAACCTCCTTACTGTGCGCGTGTGTGTGCGTGTGCGCACGCTCTGGCTGTCTGTCTATATGTCTAGCTCATCTAGTTCCTCCTCATGAGGGGATGGGGGTCAGGGGATAGGGGCTTTAGTTTCCCCACCCTAGGGGAGAGACAGGGGCTATTTCTATGCAAATAGAAATTGGCACGTTCCTCCTACTTCCCTTTTCTCCACTCTTCCCTCACATCTTTAAAGTGTGGAAGCAGAAAAGACCTGCATTTTCCTACACTGAGGAGCTGAGGTGGAGATAAGGTATAGGAGAGGTGGGCAGATAAAAGGAAAAGCAGTGGGGAGGGAAGGTGAAGAGTCCACTAGCCCCTACATGGAAGGGGCAAAGAAAAGCCAGACTTCAGTATCTGTGTCCCCTTGAAGGACTGCCTGAAGAGTCCAGTTTCCTGCTGCTCCTCAGGTTGGAGGGCCTCGGTGCCAGCAGGTCCCCTTTTTATGGCCTTCTTATGGGCCTAGGGTGGGTATGAGCCAGGGATCTAATGAGAGCAGCCCACTGGATCCTTTCCTGGTCCCAAAGATCAAATCCTATGGAACAGCTAGCATTTGATCCCTCCCCACCCCAGACAATGCTGGGAATATGCACCACTGAGCCTGAATTGGGGACGCAGGCAGAGAGGGGCCCCTTTCCACACCCTTAGTCCTACTCAGACTGTTGCGTACACTGACCCTGAACCTACAGGGTCCCCACATGGATATTACAGGCAACCTGCTCTCTTTGCTTAGTCTGGAACACTCTTAAGCCAGAAAGAAGTGAAACTAGTGTTTTCGTTTGCACTGATCCCCATCCCAGTTCAATCCAGGAGGGGACTTGGTGACCCTTCTCACTTGATATCCTGGCCCCTTGGGCTTGTGGACGCCTCCTAGCCAAATCACTATAGTACAGTGAGTGACCCCAGCCTCCTGCCTGTCCCGACACCTTTCCCCACCCTGACCGTGCTAACTGTGTGTACATATATATTCTACATATATGTATATTAAACCCGCACTGCCATGTCTGCCCGTTTTTGTGGTGTCTAGCATTAACTTATTGTCTAGGCCAGAGCAGGGATGGGAGGGAATGCCACAGTGAAGGGAGTGGTGGAGTCAAACTGCTACATACTCCAAACAGAAAAGAAAGCCTTTTAAAAACAATAAAAATCAACAACAAACATTAAATTTACATGCAGACTTAGAAACTAGAAAAAGTTGAAGCTAGGTGTTATCAGGATGTAGGAGCAAAACTTGATAGTGGGAGGGGAGGGCTGGCTGTTGAAGAGGGAAGCCAGACTGGTTAGAGCACGCTTGACTCCTAGCCCAGCCGTCTGCCCATCCCCTCTGGCCACTGCTGCGGACACCTGCCTTAACATACACACCTTGAGGACTCCATGGTTTTGCCTTAAAGGACCTTCCCAAGTCTCACCAGCTGTCTGGCTTCTCCCTTAAGAGATACTTGTAAACTGGGATGGGGGATGAGGATGACTGTCCTTCCATTTGGGGTATTATGTCAGAGCAGGAGTAAGAGAGAATAAGGAGTCTTTTTCATGCAAGAAATGGGAGAAGAGAGACAGGGTTATTTTCAGCAGTCTAGTAGATTCTCTCTGTAAGGCAAAATAATCTAAACAGACTAACCTGCCCTCCCACTCTCTGTACTGCTGTGAGGTTGCCCCTACCCTGTGCTCCTCTGTCTGCAGTGTGCACGGCCTTGTTCTAACCCTGGAATAAAGGTGACTGAGTGTACTGTACTTGACTGATTCTAGAATTTCTGTGACCAGCCAGGATTTTGGAGCCTTCAAATAACCAGAAAGGAGGGAGAGGAGTATCCCTACATCTTTGTTGCAGCCTGGAACAAAGGCCTGGAAAATACCCCAGATAGTACCCCACACTTGGTCCTCATCTCCTGTGTACACTAAATGGGGCCTATTCCACTTACAACTGTCTCCATCTGGTTGAGCACTGAAAGCAGGGTGATCCCAGACTGAACTTCCTAAAATTTTAACATCGTCAGAGGGAGAAGGCAGTGCCAAACACCTGTATTGGAAGGAACAAAAACCGTGTCATGAATGAATGGACCACATACCACACAGAGCAGCAGTCGAGGGGAAAAGCTTTACTGAGAAAATACAACAAATTCCAGAGTGCATGGTTTTCAGCTTACCTCATCACCCCACTAGCACAGAACACTCAATCACTACACATTCCCTACCTCAGGACGGAAGCGCAGTAACTAACATCTGGTCTGAGAGCTGCTAGGAAAAGAGGAAGGAAGGAAGGAGTGTCTGGGAATACCATCTTCTTACTCTTTCCCCCTCCTTCTTGGCCTGCGTTAGTAGAATCCAACTTTCCCAGGATGCAGAATTCCTGACTGGATCTTGTGGAAGTTGGGGGCAAAGAAATAGCAGCAAGAGCATTTAAGTGAAAGAATTCAACTGGGACTTTCAAGCCCCAGCCACCAGAATCAATCCTTCAATTATTGACATGTCCTCAATCCCAAGATATCAAGAGGCTGACAAGCATAAAGTCAATCCTAGGAAGTTCTTTCAATCTTTCATTAGGAAGGGTTGCTAGTGTGTAGAACTGGATGGCTTAAAAAAAAAAAAAAAGCAGCTAAAGGTAAAAGTGTGTGCCTTCTGTCACACACAGTACCAAGAAAGAGTCTGCCATGGCAGTGTCCTTCCTGAGGTGCTTCACAGACAGACCAGCCTCTGGTTACAAGAGCCATCCTGGGAGCTTCCCACAAGACTTAAGGAGAGGTAGGAGATCTGAGACAGAGTTGAATTTCTTGCCTTTCCCAACTCCTCAAGACAGGGAAGGGCAGAAGTGAGGATTCTTCCATTCTTGAGCCTCCTAACACGTAAGGGTGAGCCCCACGCTTTACTGGTCATTTGTAAAGGGGAAGATGACCGCAGGTGTGACCTCTGTATCAGTACTCTTGCTCATTCTTCCTTCAAGTCCCTTTATTGCATTCATAGAGAATATATAGGTATTTAAACTTTGACAATAATTTTAACTTGTACATCCAAGTTTGGCTTGCTTTTTAATATATTTATAGATATAAAATTAGGCCTCTAACAGTGATAGGGACAGGTAGATTGCTGCCACCAAATAATTTTTTTAAAAATAACATAAGAGGTAACATCCTTCCTATTCTTCCTCCATCCCTGCCCCTCCATCCACCTCTTCAGTCTCTCTCACCAGCCCTATTTAGGGGCTGATGGGATGATGAGAAGAGAGTGAAGGATACATAGTCAAGTGCAAAACACTGTGCTAAGTACAGAGGATGAAGTGGAGAGGACAGTGAAGAGTGTGGGATGGTAGGGGCTCTAAGGATTCTCAGAAAAACAGGATCCTGGGGTGGGGTTGCTGGTGTGTGGCGGGGAACCAATGAAACTCATAGACTTTTAAAAACAAAAAAAGGTCAAAACCTTAAAGCCAAAGAGAGAGTGGCAATCCTGCCCTCCACTCTGGCCCCTTGGTTCTGAACAACCAGTTGTTCCCCTCACACCCCCTTCAAAAGAAACAAGGGAGATTATAAAGAAAAAGAAGCCCCATTCCCCATCCTAAACCAGTTAACAAAATAGGCTCTCTCTCCCCCAGAAAAAAGGCTTCAGGGAGAGGCAATTTCTGCGAGTCCTTTGCATTTCGCCACAGAACCCCATTCCAGGGCTCAACTCCCACTTCTAGGTGCTCTCTGTTGGTTCATTTCTCTCAGGTCTGTCCTCTGGGGATGTCTTTCTTTTATCTAAATAAAAGGTCCAAAGTGCGTTTCTGTTGAATGCAAGGGCCCGGGACAGGCAAGGGGTGCCCAGGCAGGATTGGGTTGGCAGCCCCAACCCGGCCCTCCTAGGGGTGAGGCCTCAGGATGGCATGCACTGGACCCGGTCCGGGCCCTCCTCCTCGTCCGAAGTGTCTGAGGAGCTGGGAGACTCATCAGAGTCCGCATCTGTAGCCCCAACCCCAGGTTCTCTCCAGCGCTGTGGGATAGGAAAGCCTTGTTAGTAACTTCCCTGGAACAAGGACAAGCCCATTAGGTCTTAGCTAGGCCAAGAATCAGAATTTTTCTTAAAGGGCCAAATAAGTAGGTATTTCAGGCTTGTGGACCATAAAGTCTCTGCTGCAAACATTCCACTCTGCCACTGTACCATGAAGGCAGCTACAGACAATACAGAGAATAGGTGTGGCTGCATTTTTAATACAATTTTATTTTCAACAATTGGCAGTATGCCAACTGCTAGTTTGCCAATCCTTGCCTTAGCCTCTCATAGCATGAGAGTAAGCACAAAAGGGTCACCCTGAAACTGACCAGTTTTCTCACTCCCTCCCCTCCCTTCTGCCATTAACTTTATGAAGATAGCGCTCCTCATGTACTATAATAGAGGACAAGACTCTGCTGGTGGCTCTGATGGGCATAGGGACAATGGATGGGAAACCCAAGACCACTTGATTCCTCCTTCAACTATGAGGACAGGTGCACTGAAGAGCCCTCGTAAGTGGGTCACTGCCCTGGAGTGTTCACTTCCAACCCCAGCTTACCCGGTGATGGCGTCTCTGTCTCAGGTGATGCATAAGGAACCAGAGCATGTGGCTATCGAACAGGTCAGTGTGGTGCAAACTGTCTTCATCACGCTCTCGCTTGTTCTTCTTAATCACCTGGAACCCAAAAGAGTTGGGGGCAGGGGTGGCAATGAATAGGGACCCTGAAACTAAATAAAAAAGGCTAGAGTTCTATACCAATAAAAACTTCCCTTGGGTGATGTTAAGCTGAAGCAGAACTAGATTAGATTAGAAAAAGATGCCCAGACTTGCCACTAAGAAGATGGGATGCTTTAATATAGAATAATTCTTCCTGAAGATGCTCCCTTACCCCATCCTAGTACCAACTAGAGAACTTCACAGCAGTCCCCCACCCCCTGCAGCAGGGCTGTTCCTTTAAAGGCAATGACAAGAATGTAGAGGAAAGTGTTAGAGTAATACCTTTGAGAAACTGGACACCAAGTTATTCCTTCCTATTACAATGAAGAATCCTAACAGTGTGTGAGTAAGTAGAAAGAAAAGAACTTCAGCCATCCACTTACATCCTTTAACCCTGTCAGCTCAGTGGAGGCTTCAGCTGTGGGTGCCCAGATCTTCACATCATGGTCTAGGCCACTGGTTGCCAGCACAGGCAGATGTGGATGGGGCTCAAGACAGTTTACCTGATCAGGAGGAAAGCACAGGATTAGGGGTGCATGGGAGTAGGGTTTTAAAACCACTACTTACCTTGCGACAATTACCCTCCATCGGGGCTGTTGCTGAAAAGGCAGGCCCACCAATCCTAAGCCTAGGCTACATTTAGGCACCTGCAGGTAGAGGAAACACTGGCCACAGACTGAGAACAAGGCCAAGCCCACCTATCATTTCCTATGCACTGGTCAGGAGTGGCTTCATCCCTAGACACAGCCTTAAGAGTAGGGTTAGTGACTGGCCATGCTTATTGCTGGTTTTACAAGAAGGCTACAAGGTCCAAATGACTTCACTCAGTCCAGATTCTAAAGCTCCAACTTGCCTCAGGCTGGTAAAAAAAACCAAAAACAAAACAAAACTCAGTGGCTCTCATCAAGTGGCAAATAATTTTTTTTTTTTTTTTTGGTACCGGGGATCAAACTCAGGTCCTTGCACTTGCCCGGCAGGCGGCGAAACCACTGAGCTAAATCCCCAGCCGTAGTGGCAAATAAATTTTAAAAACTGAAGGAAGCAGCAGCTGCCAAGGAGCCTCCAGAGAAAAGTCAGAAAACAATTACTGTCACCTGGCACTGTTTTCTAACTGGAGGAAGGTAGAGGCTGGGAAGAAAAGGGTGATCTAGAGGGAGAGTAAAGGAGGCTAGTGTCTGTTTAAAAATCCTATACATCCCAGGGACAACATCCTGCCACCTGCCCTAAGGACACAGTAAACTCAGCTATACATGAGCTATGAATAATAAGGGAGCTTCCTAAGGCCCCCCTCATCAATTCTATTAACCCTCTGAGCGCATTCCCTGAACTGCAGAAAAACCTATGATTGGTAGGCCTTTGGGCTCAGGCAGCTTCCTTCTGTCTCAAAGCACCATGCCCCCTCACCATGCCCCCTGCTGTCCGACATGGAAACATAAGCTTCCCTGGCAGGGCAGGGTACTTCCGTCCCCAAGGGAAGAACCAGTCCCAGATCTAGCTGCTTATGCATTTTTGGGCTTTTAGTCAGCTAAGCAGCAGATAGGAAAAGGGTGGATGCAAGACTGCCCTGTAGTTCAAGAAGACAACTGGCAAAAGCCTCTTCCAGTCCTCTCTAGACCAACTTCCCCTGTTCAGAGAGCAGTGAGGAGAGGCTGAGGGTAGGCATTGAGAACAAAGCCAACCTGCATACTTCCAACCTTCTTTGACTTCCATTTTACAAATAAACAATTGCTCAGAGAAGACTGATTTTTAAGTCTGAGGCTATGAGTGAAGTAGAAAGCCCAATCTTTTTCTCCTCCTATTTCACACTTCAGCTCACTGCAGTTTGTATCTGGGCTTCCAGGCAGTGCATTTGGAGCATGAAGAGATCTAGAAATATCAAAAGATATGTACTGTAACAATTTATACAAACCTGAACTCGTTTATTCATCTTCTGATAAGCCCTTGCTACAGACCTGTACTTGGAGCTAGCTCTGTTTCAACAAGTTGGCAAAAAAAACCCACAGGGAAGCAACTCCTTGGTACTTAAGAATAAGGAAAAAGCCAATGGGGTAAGAGGAGCAAAAGAATAAATTACATACAGTACCTGAATTGGAGCTGCAGGGGGAGCCGACAGAACTTCTAGGCCAAGATATCTGATCACCAACAGACCTGTCTGAATACCAGGACTTACCCTGTCAATAACACTTGAGCAGAGAAAAGAGCCCTGGGCTTAGAAAACTGGGCTGGGGGAATGCAGGGAATGGGGATAAAGCATCACATCAATCTTGGTAGACTAAGAAGTTGTCCTTTGATACCATACCCCAGCCATGGCCCTGTACAGTTGAATGGGAACAAAGAAAGGACCCCAAAACAACAATTAGGAAAGCTGGGTAACCTCTAATATCCTTCTGGTTCTAACAGTCTACTTTATTATACAGAAATTCTTCATGGTCTACACTGAGGCTGGAGCCCAGTGACACCCAATGCTGGAAGGTTAGGACAAAAAAAGCAGAGGAGGCCAGGTGAGGACTACAGAGAGATCGTTCGGCTTATGCAGAGGCAAGAACAAGTAAGGAAATTCACTTCAGGGAATAGTCTATCTCTTCCTGTAGCCTCTCACTCTTCAAACTACTAAAACCCAGGCGCACCCATCCCAAGTAGAAGGTCTCCCCACCAGAATACCTGGGTTAATCATTAAGCCCTCGTACTGACCTAGCTGAAAGCAAAGTTGGCCGGCAGAATGCTTTTGAAGAACAAGTGCTGGCTTGGGAGAGGTAATTCATCCCTGCATTTCTATGGATAAAGTCTGATTTCCTTCTGACTATATGCCTAATGCAGAATTCTCATTAACACCAGTATTTTGTATTGGTTAACTGCAGATTATGAAAGGAGACCTATGAAAGAGCAGGAAATGAAGCAGGGGAAAGTGAGACACATCTTAAACTATCTTGAACTTCTAGACTCCTATTTGCTATTTGGTTTGCAGAAGCCCTGACCTATGTAGGTCTCTAAAATTTAAAGAAAACTAGAAAAAAATGTGAAATACCCTTACAGCAAGGCAGGTAAAATACAAGAAAAGAACAGGATCCTGATTATAAGGAACCATTTTAAATTCTACAACTACTCTCTGGTAAATCTCATGAAGTCACGGCTAGACTCTGAAGTTTCCCATAGCTTAGAAGGAATGAAAAAGGAGCCCAAGCAGTCAATTATGACTTAGGTGCCTTGAGTAACCAATTTTGTTATCAGTATAATTTAATCTTCCAAACTGACTCCTATTTTCTATGATCCAAAAACCTTATAATAGAAAGCTGCTGAACTCTATCTTAACTCTAGGTCTCAAAGGGGGAGGGTGGTGTTTATTAGATACATCTCAATGCATCTGACCACTTTTCTCTCCTTACCTCAATCCTCACTCTTCCTTTTTGCCCTCTCTCCACAGAGGCTGCCTGTAGGACTCAAAGTACAGGCAGACTGTGATATAATCATGGGTTGTACAGCCAGATATTCACCCACTCTTAAGAAAAAAACAAAACAAAACAGTGCTACATACATGCATAGTGTTTGTAACCATTTGAAAGTGTGAACTTCACCCCTAAATATTTTAACACATATATCTTAAGTACTAAATATCACAAATTTAATATTAAATATCTGCTGTCGAATGTATAAACCATATTTTGATTTTCCCAATTGTCAAAAAAGTTCTACTTTTTATCTATCCATCTAGGATCCAGCCAAGATCACTGCTTAGTTTACTTATGAGATAAGGCATGGAGATATATTGGAGATAACTTTAACATTGTGTAGGACAGTGTGCCCTGAACTGTAGGTCCATGCTTAGAGGTCAGTTATCTCATTCAGGCCAGTTCTTTCCTAAATCCCTTCCTCTTCTCAATAAACACTTACAGAGGCAGAAGACAAAAAGGAAGAAAATACTCCATGAAATCTCAGCATTCCCCAACTCAGCACTGCTTTTTTCTAAGATGGGGGTCTTGCCATGTTGTCCAAGCTAGTCTTGAACTTGTGATGCTCCCCAAATTGGTCTTCCCAGGAACTGGGATTATAGGCATGTGCCACTATGCTTAGCTCTATGCTGGCTTTTAATTTAGCTAGCTTGACCTCTAAGATATGGTATCACATAGGTCACAGTGAAAATTCAGTGGCCCTGCTAAAACCTATCTTCATGATCTCAGAAACTAAGGAGCCAGCCAGCCACACTTACCACGCCTCCCTTGTCTCCCTCCATGAACTGAATGATCTGGCAGGATGATTTCTCCCAGAGGAAGATGTGCCCGCAGTCACTACCGCTCACCACAAACTCACTCTTGGGGCCATAGAAATTGACACCTTTTACTGAAATGATAAATGAGGGAACAAACCACATGAGGGTTGGCATTGGGCCTATACATGTTTATCTCAGAATGAATTTCACTATTCATAAACTCTAAAATCAGCCAAAAGCTTAATAATTCCTTTCATCTTCACAAAAACAAATCAAGAGATGAGTATATAATAGTTAGTTATAAGAATCATGCTCATTCCAGAGACTATTTATATTCGCCTTCAAAGAGCTCCATAGGGCAGAGCAATCTATAGTGCCTTAGCAACAGCCTGCCTCATTTATATCCTATCATGCAACCACAGGCCTAATGCCTTACCTGTCCGGACCTGAATTGCTCTAGCTATGCCTACTCCTAGACAGCATTGCCCTATGCCTTAGGATTATCCTTGGTATGCACTTCATGGGTGCCTTGTCAGTGTTTCTTGGGTCACTGGCTGATCTGAGACTGAAGGTATGTTATGGTTTAGACTGAAAATGTCCCCCAACTCTCATGTGTTTAGAAGGTGAATGGGTCATGGAGTGCTAGTCATCAGTGATTCATCCACTGATGAGTTCAATAGTTCGTGTTAGGAGGTGGGGCCTGGTTGGGAAGAGTGGGCCACTGGGGGTGTCACCTGGAAGGGTGCATTATTGTCCCTAGCTTCAAGTCTTCCTTTAGGATCTCTGCTTCCTAGCTGCCAAATGAGCAGTTTTCCTCCGTCATGTCCTTCTATCAGGCTGCTTCTGCCCTAGAGTCAGCTGACCTTGGACAGACCCCACTGGAAACTGTGAGCCAAAGAAACCTCTCCTCCTCCAATCTGTGAGTACTAGGTATTTTGTCCCAGTGATGAGAAAGTGGCTAATATAAGGTATATCTTACAACTGCCTATAAGAAGCATCTGAACTGTGCTTTCTACCAGGACTGAATAACAATGCTGTATCTTCTTGAATTAGTAAAAGAAGCCAAGAGGCCCAATTAATAGAGCCAGTTCCATGCTTTTTGTTTGTTTGCCTATGGACTGAGATCCAAGAACAGATTGTTTTTTCTCCTTCCCTTCTCACCAGCTCAAGAGAAAAAGTAAAACTATCTAATTGCTGTCTCCAAGTTAAATTATGACAGATATTTGTTAGCAGTAGTAACAACAACAAAGAGCATTTTTTTGGTACATAAAAAATGTTCACCTTTTTGTACACAAGAATCATGAGGAGAGCTTTAAAAGTTCCCAACATACCAATTAAATCAGAGGATATGAGGGGAGGAGCCAGGCATCAGTATCTTTAAAAGATTATCAAGTGACGCCAATGTGCCCTGCAATTTGGGAACCACAGACACCTAACAAAGAAGGCCAGTCTTCACTGCAAAATTAGGCTAGGTACCACCACTATTCCTTTTCCTCTGCCTCTTAAAAAAAAATCATTTCCTCTTCCCTCCCCACAGGTACAAGCTTACTTCCCAGTTTATGTAATTCAGCACCATTTGCTAAAGAAGACTTACCTATCAAAGCCTCAGTGTCTATTCTGAAGTTACTTCAAATCATAAAGAGAAAAGTCAGTCTAGTCTCATGCACAAACCAATTAGAAGCAACATCACTATGGTGAAGATGCTCTTAAAGAGCCCTTTCCTAGCATGAGAGAAAAACCAAAACACCAAAAAACACGAAAACTCCAGTTCAATTTGGAATAAACTCTCACTGCACAAGGTGATGCAGCAGCCTAGTCCTTAGGTAGTTCCCATTTGTACAACCAGAATAGGTATTTGGTTCTTCAAAGTGTGCACCACAGAAACCTAAAAGACAGTCTCACCTGTGGCATTATTTCTGTGGCCCTTGTATCTTTTAACATATTGGGCCCCATCACTGTGAGAGGAGTTGAAGAGGTAAATGTCTTCATCATTGTAACTGGCCAGGAGCTCTGCCAAGAACAAGAACACAGCAGTGAAGGCAAAGGCTGAAAAATACAAGGACTAGGAGTCAGGGTTTGGGGTGAGGCTTCTTGCCAGTAGTGCCCCCTCCTAATACCCACGTATAGCACCCATCTTACTTAACTGGAACAGTAGGAAGTGAAGTTAATAGGGTAGACTAGGAACACACTGCCAACCCAGGGGTAGCAGAATGCTCAGGAAGAACATGTCTGTTAACTCAGGAATGAGTCAAAGGCATAAGAATCTGCTCAGGCAAGCAGCTTGAGACTCAGGACAGGCTCTGCCAATAATCATGTGCAACATTCTGCAAATGGTGCCTGGTGTCTCTGAGGGTCATCTCCTGCATCCTCCCACTATGTGCTCACCATCAGCAACGACTCCCCAGCTGCTCCACTTGGAGCTATAGCACAGTGGTGAGCACTGGAGGGCACATGCCTCACTGGCTCAGCAGCTCCCTAGACAGAGGGGGCATGCCAGCCTAGGAGCTGGGCCCTGCTCACGTACCTGTGCCGTCGTGGCTGTACACAAGACAGGTGATGTTTGCTTTGGACTCACTGTTCACCTGCAATGAGGAGCAGATACTGACTGATGCCCCACCCCCCCCACACTTTTTATACCACCTTCAGGAAAAGGTTTTCCTTTACACTCCCCTATATCTTCTCCCAGAGATTGAGACAGACAGACAGACGTAAAACTGATGCAACATGAACACCTCTACAAAGTCTTAGGGACTTCCCTTAGTTGTCTTCTGTGTGCGAGCCATTTCATATACACTGTCTCATTAAGCCTCACTATGATGATGCAAGGCACTTATTTGTCCTATTTTCTTGATGAGAAAACTGAGGCTAACAGAGGTGAACTGATTGTCCAAGATCACAAAGCTGGTATGTGGGAAAGCCAAGGTTCAAATCTAGGTGTCCGATTTGAAAGTCCAAGCCCTTCCCACTATACCATGTTCTAAGGCAGTCTTGGGATCAAGTCAGGGAAGCCAGGAGCCGCTGGTTTCATGAATCTTACCAAGTGATGAGGACAGAATTTTTTGAGTACTCCATTATTCTCGTTCTCATCAATTTTCCTCTGGTCATAAATTCTGTAATGGAAGAAGCAATGAAACGTCAAAACTTACAAACTGATACCTTGAAGAGCTGCAATTTGACATGGTGGCAGGAGGCAGCCAGCTGGATGCAGATATATGACATTTTCCAATCAAGCTGCTGGTGAATACTCTTCTATAAAGATCCTCCCCTTACTCAGTCCATTTCTAAACCTCTTTATCCACGTACCTTCCATATTACAAAACAGTCTGAAAAGGATTTTATCTCAACTTTTTTATCACTTAACTGCTTATTTTCACTCAAACAACTAACATTACAGGGCCGAGATTTTAGCTCAGTGGTTCCGCTGCCTGCCTTGCAAGCACAGGGACCCGAGTTCGATCCCCAGTACCAAAAAAAGAAAAAAAAATAAACGACTTCTAAACAACTAACATTACTATAGTTTTTTATATGTATTACCTACCCAAAGAGTTTATTACTTAAGGGCAGAGACTTTGTTTTACATGTGTCAGTGAGTCTTCACTCTCTCTATGAAGCCTTATTTGGCAGTTCTCCCCCTCATACCCCACAACAGCTATTACAAAACTACCAGCCTCAAGACTTCTCCTTTTTTCACTGCCATCAAATAAACTACATTCACCTTACCTTTTCTCTCCAATACAAGCTTTGTAAATCTTTATGGCACACATGTTTTTTGTCAAGTATTATGCTAGGTGTGGGAAATACAGTGAAGAACAAGGCAGATCCAGTCCAGTCTCACCCAGCTGTCAGCTCCAATCTTAGAGCCAATCTCTCTACAGCTATATCCCTCCAGGAACCTTATTTTATCAATTGGTCCTTTTCTCAACCTCTTCATCATCATGTCTACTCATTGTGAAAAAATCTTTCCTATTGTTACTGCTTTTTCTCTCCTTCCTTTGCAAATTACTAAAAAGTATAATTTACAATCAATGTTTTCACATCCTCACATCTTATTTACTTCTCAGTCCATCCCAATGCATCTGTGACCCTAAAGCTTTCACCACTAAAACTTCTTTGGCTGAAGTCATCAGTAACCGAACTGCCAAAGCCAATGAGATACTTTTTTTTAAATTTTGGTACCGGGGATCAAACTCGGGTCCTTGTGTCTGCACAGCAGGCAGCAAAACCACTGAGCTAAATCCCCGGCCCCGCAATGAGATAATTTTTAAAGCCTTTCTTGTCCCAACATCCTTACTCCTTCCCTGAAACACCACTGTTCCTAACTCTCTTCCCCACTCCCTGAGGTGCTGGGGATCAAACCTAGGGCTTCACATTTATCTCTGAGCTACACCCCAGCCTTCTCATCTTACTTTATACTAGAATATTTTAAACTGGAGTGCAAACAGTATGTGAATCTCCAGAAACTTGTGCTTATGTACATTTTTCTGGAGAAAAGAAACCACTGTTTTCATATTTTCTAAGAAGCCAGAGACTCAAAAGGATAGAAAAATTCTGTTCTATATCATAGTTCCCCCTTATCCATATTTTTGCTTTCAATGGTTTCAATTGTCCAGGCAACTATAGCCAAAAGATATTAAGCGGAAAAGTCCAGAAATAAATAATTCCTAAGTTTTAAGTAACTTTTATTATAGCATACTGCTGTAATTATTCTCTTATGTATAATTATGTAGGGATAGAAAAAATATGGTGCATATGTAAGGTTCAATGCTACCCAGTTTCAGGCATCTGTGTCACCAGATAACACTTATTCCAAGCTCTGTATTTACTTCTCCTTAACAGTTCAGTGTTATAATGGGTTGCCCAAAAGTAAACTCATTTTCCTTCTAAAACTAAAGTCCCAAACCTATCCCTTTCCCCTAATCCACGCCCCCCATCAGTACTGAGGATTAAACCCAGGCCCTTCACACTGAACTACAGCTTCTCAAAATTTGTTTATTTTGAAATAGGATCTCACTAATTTGCTGGGGTGAGCTAGAACAATCTTCTAACCTCAACCCCCTCTTTAATTCTTTTTTTTTTTAGACAGGGTCTTGCTATGCATTCAGGCTGGCCTTGAACTCAGGATGTAGCTGGGGTTGGCCTCAAACTTGTGGTGATTCTGCGTCAGCCTCCCAAGTGCTGGGATTATAGATGTACTATCTTTTTAAATGGCATTTTCCTTAAGACAAGTGGCCAAGCCAGAAATTAGGTCTTTTCTTTCCTATACAGCTAACTTCTTTCTTGTCAAATTCATTCCATGGGCACATATCTGGCTTTTCCCTACCCTTGTCTTTTTTTGCCTAAAGTATTATTATTGTTATTGGGTTTTTTTTGGGGGGTTGAGGCAGGGCCTCCCTTTGTAGTTCAGGCTGGCTCTGAACTCATTATGTAGCCCAGGCTGCCCTCGAACTCACAGCAATCCTCCTGCCTCAGTCTCTCGAATGCTGCGATTACAGGGATGCACCACCACACTACGCCCGGCTTGCCTAAATTATTGTAGCATCCTTCTGACTCCTCTGCTCATACTGTCATCAGAATTATGTCAAAACAAAAAATTTGCTGAGCATGGTGGCACATGCCTGTAATCCCAGCACTTAGGAAGCTGAGGCAGGGGGATTACCGTGAGTTCAAGGCCAACCTGGGCTACACAGTGAGTTCAAGGCCAGCCTGAACTGCACAGTGAGACCCCATCTCAAAAAAAAAATTAAAAAAAAAAGAAGCAAAATTTTATGTAAATCCCCTACTTAAATCTCTCAGTATGAACATCACTGATTAAAATTCAAACTCTTTAATATGGCTACATACCACTTTAAGATCCTATACCTTACACTCAAAAACAAAACAAAACAAAAACCTCCCGTGTTTCCTTGAATATACTGTCACCTTTTCTTATCTCACCTCTACACATATTATTCTCTTTACCTGAAATACTAATTTCACCATGGTCTTTCATATCTCCTCTGTGAAGGGAGAAAAATCATAGTGAAATGGTTTCCAATGTATTTAAGCAATCATACCTGAGTTCAAATACTAACTCTACTGCTTACTAGCTGAGTAATACTAGGTAAGTTACTTAAAAGCTCTCACCTTCATATATGTTTCTACAAAATGTTCCTTAACACATCCCACCAACTGGAACCACTGGTGGTAAATACCTGACTGTCCTATCAGGTGGCTTGTACCACTGGTGGTAGAAGTGGACAGTCATGTACGGGACAGTCATGCACGTACCACACCAGTGGTTCAAGTCACCTGGCAGAGAGGCATACAGATTGTGGCCCTATCATAAACGAGTTAAAGGCAGAGACAATGTCCAGTCAAGGATGTAACTAGTAGCTTAGATGATGGATGAATAAATGCACAAATTCCTCACAACCCTTTGTTTAATATCCTGCCTGAAGAGACTATCCAGGAAATGTCTGCTAAATGAAGGTAAAAAAAAAGGGTGTGTGTGGTGTTTATACTATCAACTGTTATGCCATGGCAAATTTATTAGCTGTTAAAGAAATTATTGCTTTTAATTAGGTCAAAATAACAGCTTTGTTTTGATACAGGGTCTCACTATGTAGTTCAGGCTTGCCTTGAACTTGAGGTGATCTTCCTGCCTCAGCCTCCTGAGTGCTAGGATTATAGGTGTGTGACACCACAGCCGGCAAAATAATAGCTCTCAACTGTCACTAAATCATTACAAAATTCAGCAAGTCAGCAAATAAGTAACATGTTTATTCAAACCCCATTGTCCTTTTACTTTCTTAACCACCTTCCTTCCTCCTCACCCCACCAGTATTCACTAGAAACCTACTATATTCCTGATAATGATGCCACACCAAGAGTTGGCAAACCTTTTCTTAAAGGGTAAGAAAGAAAAGGAACAATGAGACCTTAAAACAGTCAATTGCTAATCTGAAGAAGTGCCAGAAAACTAAAGGGTAACCATAAGGTCAGAGAAAAATGAAAAGGACTACCTACTTATGCAGCATCAGTGTGCCTCAAAATCCACATTCTTCTGCCAAGAAAACAGCCTATGATCTGCTGAGTCTTTAGGATGCAAAAAGAGATAGAGGGTTTTATGGCTGGCAAGAGACAGAAGATCTGAGTATTTCTCTTTGTGCTGAAATGCTAAAACTACTTTTCAACCCCACTCTAATTTTGGGAAAGTATCTGCTTTGGAATAAGGCATTAGAACTTTGGGTCAGGCATGGTGGTGCACACCTGTAACCCCAGCTACTCAGGAGGCTGAAGCAGACAGCATTTAGGTTTGAGGCCAGTTTAGGTAACTTAGGAAGACTGTCTCTTGGAGGGGGGGAGGGGGGAGGGGGAGGGAGAAGGAGGAAAATAAAGAGAAAGGACTGGGGATGTAGCTCAGTAACAGTATTTACGTAGCTTGTGAGAGAGCCCTGGGTTCAATCCCCAGTACTGTAAAACAAAACAAAAAAGAATTTTGGAATAGGTTCTCACTAGAGCTAACTCCATTCCCCTTCAAACATCTTAGCTCTAGAAAATGAATTCTCTTAAGAGACACGGGCTTTTCAAACAACCTACTGCTCTAAATAAAAATTCCAATGAGAATTATCAATGAATATCTGAGTTGGAGGACTTGGTACCTAAAGGTTCTGACAACTCCAATCCCTTTGATCAAAAGCTTCTTATTAAAAAATAAAAAATAAAAAAATACTGCTACCTATTTGAGAAAAAAAATTTGAAGGCAAGAGAATCGGGAAGAAAGCAAGAAGGTTGTTTAGGACTCTTAAGGTAAATTCCTCTCTCATGTATTTTCTAAAAACTTACCCTATGCTCATGATTCTTAATACAATTAATTTCAGAATACTGCTACAAAAACATGCTCTCAATTGTTTGCAACTACCACCAAGAAAGCAAGTCATTCATATTTCTAGTGATGCTGCTCTTCTCTCATTCAAACTGACAATCCCAAAGAAATAGTTTACAATATTTCTACTAGATGAGGATTGAATCCATGATGTCTGTTTTCTTTAGGATGTGCCTTATAACAGATGTTCACAATAACAAAGATATCACTGAAAAATTATTAAAGAGAAGTGGTTCAAGAGAGTGGGAAGCCAAAAACCCTTGGTTAATACTGAGTGCTTCCAAGTCAAATTATTTCTGAATCCAAAACCAGTACTCAAGATTACTAGTGCAGTGGTAATTTATATATGAAAATGTTGAAAGATATTTACTAATACAGCACCTGCTAGTAAATGTGGACTTATGCCTTAGCTGCTATGTGGAGAACTTGATAAATGTGGACTTATGCCTTAGCTGCTATGTGGAGAACTTGATCAATTTATCAAACTTCTTTAAACACTGCAATCTCATAATATACAAAGCCATTCTTCAGATTGTTATATTAGAGAACAGAAGATGCTTCAACATTTTGGAACAAGATGGTGTCAGTAGATTCCTAGGCAATTCATACCTCACCACAAGAGAATAGCTGAAGAGAAACAGTCCAATGTATCCAAGTCTCAATGACACAAAACAACAGACTCACCTTACAAACTGATCTCGGCCACCCACTGCAAACTGATGGGTATTGGCGGGATTCACAAAGATTGTATACAATCCCACTTTCTTCTCTTTTTCTTTTGTCACCACCAGTTTCCTTTAAGAAGAGAAAAGCATAAAAAGTTATATTCTCCAAAAAACCTAGATGGTTATACCAAGTGAGAACCAAGGAAGTAGACATGGCTAGTAAGAAATCCAAAAGATTCTCATTGGGAAAAAAATAAGTGTTGGTTTTATTATTTTGAACACTGAAAGAGGAAAAAACATGGGCAGGGGATTTAGCTCAGTGGTTCTGCCGCCTGCTTTGCAAGCACAAGGACCTGAGTTCAATCCCCAGTACCAAAAAAAAATAAAAAACATATAGGCATTCTATAAGCTACTTTGAAGATGGGGGAGCACACAGTAAAGTCATTTTATAGAAATGACTTTCCTTAAGAAAGTATAAACTTTTTTTGAGACAGGGTCTTGATAAGTCACTAAATACCCCAGGCTGCACCTGAACTTGTAATTCTCCTGCCTCAGCCTCCCAGACTGCTGAGATTATAGGTGTGCACCACCACTCCCTGGTAATGAATTACTAAGGGTAAATGAACGTAAAGTACTGCTCCTCAGGAAGCTTCAGTGCAACTATAGTCCAACCAATATGTTAACAACTAATCCTTAAGGAGACATACTACCTCCATACCTTTCCATTCTTTATTTTTGTTTTTTTTGAGACAGGGTCTCACTATCCAGTTCAGCCTGGCCTCGAACTCACAGTGATCCTCCTGCTTTAGACTCAAGGGCTGGGATTACAGGCATGCACCTCCATGCATGCACCCGGCTCCATTCCTTATTTACATCTTCCTAATCATTAGAAATAAGGAGAGGAGTAGAGGAAGACTCATAAAACAGTGGGCTAAAAAAGACCTTAAGGTCAGAGTCGAATTCCCAGATTCTAGAGAAATGTCACTTAAAACACACACTATATTAAAAATGCACACTAAAAATTAGGCCATAGTTTTCTGGGACAAAGGCAATCCAAAAGGAAACAGCACTCTTTTTCCCTTATCTGAAGCAAACTACAAGAGAAGGTTTCTATGAAGATAGCTGTTTGTAAAGCTGAAATAGCAGTTCTACGTTCTCTTGGCTGTAACTCAAGAAGGGTGATACCTAGGAAAGCATGGGGCCTTATGGAAACCCCAGAGAACTTCAAAAGTTTAGTCAGAAGAATCTAGTAAAACCATCACAATTTATCCCAGCTTAAGGGTGGCACTATGAATAACCTTCCGTGATCTAAGTGTCCAACCAGTTAAGTTAGACATCATGAAAATTAATAAAGTTACAGGAAAGACATCAAGAAACCATAAGAAGGGGCTTGGCTTTGGTTTTCCCTTTTATGTTAAGGTTTTATTCATTTCTGATGCTACGCAAACAGAAAGAAATACTATAACCATGAAAATAAATTTTATTGGAAATAATTTTTGCATCCTCTCTGCATAGTCACAGTTACTCCAGGCTAAAACTGCTCTACACAAAACAGAGATTTTGATCTTAAAAATTTTTGCAGCTTTCCATTAAAATAAAAGAGTACAGGGCCAGGGATTTAGCTCAGTGGTTCTGCCGCCTGCCTCACAAATGCAAGGTCCCAAGTTTGATGCCCAATACCAAAAATAAAATAAAATAAGAGTACAAAGATCACTGGAAATGAATCGCCTCCATATGCCTCAAAAAACACAAGGCAGAAAACATGTCAAAAGTTTTAACATGAGTAATGGTGCATGCCTGTAATCCCAGGACTCAGGAAGAATCGCTGGGAGTTTGAAGTTAGCCTGGGTTACACAGTGAGTTCAAGGCCAGCTTGAACTACATAGTGATACCCTGACTCAAAAATCAAAACAAAACAAACAAAAAAACGAAAAAGTATTTACAGTTTCAGGAACAAAGCTAGCTAAGAAGCAGCAGCTCTACTCTGAGTTTCAGAGAAAAGGAGTAGTAGCTGACGATGTTCCTTTCATAGGACCAGCCCATTTCCTTAGCAATTTGAGTTTTCAAAAGGACAGGGTCAGACAAATGTAAAAGTCGTTGTGTGTAAGCAAAATGAAGAAAGTAAGGGATATATTATGAAGTGCTAGCTCCACTGTCATGTAATCCTGACAAAGCTCAATCTTTCCATGGCTCAACGTATTGCCATCAAACAATTCTCTCGATGGATAAAAGCACAGAGTGCCTTAAGTTCTCGAGGTAACATGCAGAGGTACAATAAAAATGATGAATCAGGGCATGGCGGGGTGAATTTTCATAACAGAGGAAGAGAGCATGTGAAACCATATGAAACAAGTTCACTGAATTCTGCCTTAAAATTAATGAGCAGGTTATATCCCTCCAAAAAGGGAAAAATTACAGATTACACAGACCAAAAGGACTTCTTGGAAGAATACCTCAAACTGGTTCCCTAGTGGGGAACAAATTATAAAAGAATATACTATCCACAATTCCAATCAAACTCTTTCCCTAAGATGTTAGTCAATTTCATGAGCTTCCAGGGACTCACGAAATGCAAAGGAAAAATTCTTTTATGCTAACTTCACACAAAAATGCCTGATATAAACAAATGTTCAGGTACCATCTAAACACGTGAAAATAGCCTGGATTTTCTGGCCAAACTCTTCACACAGCTTTTCACCCCATTCCAGCCTATAAAACTACTTCCTCGACTCTTAAGCAAAAACTGTTTATAAAGATTCACTGTCTCTTATTCCTGAAACCTAGAATTTGGCCCTTCTTAAATTCTAAATTTTCTTCAATGTTCCCCTTTTAGCTTCTTACCTCACCCAGTCATTTGGGTCTAGATTTACAGCCAACTATCAGCCAGATTTTCTGCCTGTATCATTTCATTTCAAACAATAATCTGCTAGTCGTTTGCTATACCCGTTATTTGAATAAGATTCCTTGGGGCCTAAGAGGAGTTTCCCTTTGAACCTTATCTAGGGTAAAATCTCAATCTGCTTTACAACTTTCTAATACAACAGATCAAATAAATTCATTATAATTTCATTTATCTTTACCTTCCCTCCTTTTACAAAAACTTGCTAATGTTCCACTATCATCACAGTACCATAGAATGTTAGAGCAGATACAATAAACATTATTCAGCTCAAGAAAACACAACTACTAAAAAAAAAGAAAAAAAGAGAGAGAGAACACAGCTACTGCAGAGGTACACAGATATTCCTTGATTTACAATGGGGTTTATGTCCCAATAAACCCACTGTAAATTGAAAATATCCTAAGTTGAAAATACATTTTATATACCTAACCTACTGAACATCACACATTGTCAACACAGTACAGTATTAGTTGTTTATCCTTGTGATCAGGTGGCTAACTGAGAGCTGTGAGTTCTGCGGCCGCCCAGCATTTGCTGTGCATATATTGTACCATATGGCTAGCCTGGAAAAAGATCAAAATTAAAAGTTTAAATTCAGTTTCTACTGAATGTGTATTCACTTTCACACCATTGTAAAATTAAAAAATCGTGGGCTGGGGATTTAGCTCAGTGGTTTTGCTGCCTGCTGCGCAAGTGCAAGGACCCGAGTTCGATCCCCGGTACCAAAAAAAAAAAATTAAAAAATCTTTCAGCCAGGGGTAATCTGTAATAGAAGGCACAGCCCTTGACACTTGGCCTTGTTTCCTTTCCACTATACACCCATCACCTTCCAATCTTCCTCTTCTTGAAGGTTATACAAATAACCAGTATATCCTTTCTCCAAGCATAAAACATTTCCATCATTTAAGCAGCTGTTGAAATTTGTCTACTTTCTAGACAACTTTTTAGGCTCATCTCACTAAAAGTCGAATTATAATTAGCCTTCAAATTATATTCCCTAGATGAATTTATATTTACTTATATCCTATGTAAAGCCCTGACATCCCAATCTCAAAACTGTTACCAAACAACAAGATTTGTTATAATAATTTTTAAGACTAACTAGACAAATAATCTAGATACCCACTAATGAGTGATTAAACACAGAGTAGCACACCCACCAATGCTATAACATGTATGTCATGCGTAAGCACGAGATGCTTTTACCGTTTGATATAGAAAGATTTCCAAAACATAATATATACAAAAGCAAAGGTGTATACATATAATTACCCCATTTATTAGGGGTACTATATATGTACATACTTAGGTACATGAATATAGTAAAAAGGGAATGGGGGTGGCCGAGGTGGGATACACCTATAAGCCCAGCACTTAGAAGGCTGAAGTAGGAAGACTGCAAGTTCAAATCCAGCCTGGGCTGCATAGCAAATGCCTGGCCAGCCTGGATTTAGACAGCAAAACTCTATCTCAAAACAACAACAATAAAAGGGGACTGGAAGTGTTCAAAATTACTGACAATGGTGACTAATAGCTAGAAAAATGGGAATGGGTGTTATGAGGAAGCATTTACATTTTGGCCATGTACTTTATTATCCAAATCTCTTAAAATGTATCTGCTTATTACAAGAGTAATAAAAATAAAAATCACTAAAATAATTATAATGGTAGCTACAATTTAATCAGTTTCACTAATGGTGCTTGCAACATTTGATGCTAGGGCATCAAATGTACATATCAATAATCCTCAGAGAAACCCCCGTAAAAGGAAGGAGATATACTGAGGTTTAGAAGATTACTGTATACAGATCATAATTAGTAGTGTCTGAGTTCCTCTGCCTGTGTTCAAACAAAATGCTATGTTTCTCCTATGACATCACACAGCTAAAATATAACATACTCACGAAGCTCAAATTCATGCACAAATGAGCTGTGGTATGACAGGACTCTACTATAGCTATCAATATTTCTGTTCAAGATTCATCATTTGATTTTGTTTCTATATGCAACTGAACTGAAAATTTATAGGATCATATCCTCTAGTCTTCCTGTGGGTAGGATGAATGACACCTAATTAAAGGCAAGCTTAAGATCATCAAGTTATTAAATCCCACATATAACTGAACCTTGTTTCAAAAATGAAGGCAAAATATTTCACTGCTGAGAAAGACACAAGAAGTAAGGAATTCTCCTGAACCATACACTCACTACCTCTTATCACAGGCACAAAGGCACTTATTCTGAGGGACTTGAGAGCTGAGCATTACTAGGACACATGAAATATTTTCAAGACCAAGGGATAGAGAGCTTTAAAGATATTATTACTATACTTACGAAGCTGGCCGATCTTGTCTCAGGTCGATGGTAAAGACAACTGCATCTTCACCTGCAGACAGGAACGTACAGGGAGAGTCTGGTTCCAGGGCCAACTGAAAGAGAAAAGGGGGAAAGAATGAGGTTTCTAAGGATTAGAATTAGAAATAGTCAAGTTCACTTCTTTTTTTTTGGTACTGGGGATCAAACTCAGAACCTTGTGCTTTCGAGGCAGGCACTGGAACCACTGCGCTAAATCCCCAGCCCAATAATTCAAATCCAGTATATTTTCTTTTTTTTGATACCAGAGATTGAACTCAGAACCACTGAGCTAAATCCCTGGCTCAAGTTCACTTCTTTACTTTTATGAAAGGCTACAATGAAAATGTCTCAGGAAGAGAAATGTCTGCCTTTTTTGTTGTTGTTGTAAAATTCCAGAGAAGATACTTTAAGTACCACTTGCTCTTCTGTGTAAATTATTCAGTCTGTTTATTCTGTACAAGTCAAAGGACAGATGATTTGCTATTTTAACAAATCCTTTCGGGATTTAAAATATCAGCTCTTACGAGTTCATTTTCAAAATCAATTCCACACCTTGAGGTATGGAGAGAAATGGTGCCCTTTCTTTCCCTTTATGTTAGTTCTAAAAATTAGTTATCTAGAGTATTGGGTGTAGGCTTACGAATCACAGATGAATTTCACTTTTCCAGAGCCATATGGACTAGAAAGGATACTCTAGGTCCATCTATACATTTTCTTAAGGTCTGTAAAACAAGGTACCATCTCTTTTCATGGCATGGAAAAACACAATGCCTACTCTGAGAATGGGGAGCTCATAGCTCCTCACTGGCTACCCCGAAGACTATCTGGCCTATATTCCCAACTCTAAATAGGGTTTCCAGAAATAGTGCTATTTGTGAGCTGAGAGTTGTAAGCAGGAAAGTTGGGAGTTCTTACAGATGAGGAACCAACTACTAGTGCCTTGGAATTGTGAAAATTGTTTTAAAAATTAAATTTCAGGGGTTTGGAAAGCATAGGAGACCTTAAGGATCTCCAACCAAACAGAGCTCAGCTTAGGGGGTAGATACAGTCAAGTGAATGTTACAAGTACATGATCTGGGTAATCTCTGAAATACTTATCTTCCAAGAAGTTTAGGTTGGCTATTTTTGTTCCTTTCTTAACTATAATTCTTAGGACTGAAAGACACAAGGCAGATAACCACAATAAAGGGGACGTGACAGGCAGAGATAAGAGGATATTAGCTGAAATCCACAGATGGATATAATCATTACGTATATCTAAAATATACCAATAAATTAAAAAATTCAAATAAAAAAAGAAATCCACAGATGGTATGGATTCACAAACTGAAGCAAAGGCTAACCTTGTGGGATGCTCCTTTGTGCTGCGCCACACGCTTTGTATTCTTGCAGCACTGTGTGGCAGACAGTTCTGCTACCCGAACCTGTCCATCCCGGGCACACATGGCCAGGGTGGAATCTCCACTGTTGGGAAGGAACTTGGCCTGTGGGAAGAATGAAAAAAGGTTGCACACAAAAGAAATTGAAGAAGTGAATCTGAGAGTGAAGAATGTAATGATCCCAGTTCACCCCTTTTCTTGCATGATAGCTACATACAATTTTCATGCTCTTGTACAGATGGCTAAGCCCAATTTCTCCCAGGGGTTAAAAACAGAAAAGTAAAGAAAAGACTTCCTCTGATGTGTGAGAGCATTTTGGTTGATTCTAGAAGGTTGAACTGATATATCATTAAATGCTCAGGTGAACTACAAATGTACCTAATAGGGCAGAAAAATAAGGAATAAAGGAAAATCTGTCTTTAACAGCAGTAAACATCACTATGCCAAAAATGAAAAGGAAATTAGGGATGAATGTTGGGGCAGAAAAGAGAACATGTTTAGGGATAAATAGCTAGCATCAATATGGAGAATGGGTCTGAATAAAATCTCCTCAGAACAGTAATATTAGCTAGGGCCAGGGATTTAGCTCAGTGGTTACAATGCCTGCCTTGCAAGCGCAAGGTCCCAAGTTCGATCCCTGGGTACCAAGAAAAAAAAAAAAAGTAATATTAGCTAATTTTTTTTTGTTATTTAATCTTCATAACCCTGAATGTTTAGACCCAATTTTATAGATATAGTTATAGATATAACTGAAAACACAGGTTAACCTTCCCAAGCTCACATAGCTATTAAGTGGAAAGGCCAGGGTTTGAACCCAGGCAGAGTGGTTCAAGAGCCTGTGCTTTTACACTATACTGTCTCCTACTAACACATCTACAATACCTCCCTGATGAGTGCCAGGCATTCTACCTATAGTAGGACTTCTGACAGCCCTTATGGTCAAGAAAACAAAAGACTGCCATGGGTCTTTCTACGTCATTAAGGAAGCCAACGTGGGGTTAAGTCCTGATGTGTGATTCTTAGCACAACTCATTACCAGCTCCTCTCTACGCAGCAGCTCAGATTGTGTAACTCATGCCCAATTCTCAGTTATGCTTCCTTGCCTTACCTGGAAGACATTACTTTTGTGACCACTCTCAAAGTCAAGCACTGGCTGCCGCCGCACCCAATCCCACACCACCACCTTCAGGTCATCGCTGCCACTGGCCAGCCAGGTGCCGCGCTGGTTAAAGTGCAGGGTGTTGACACAACCGGTATGGCCCTCAAGCCCATGCTGCAAGCGGAAACGCTGTACAAAGACTCTTGCTCCACAAGCCTCATACACAAAGCGAGCACTTGAGCCCAGTGCCCGCTCCCGAAGGGCAGGAAGGGCTTGCCAGCGAGGTCTTGGCAGGGCTGTTGTCTCTGAGGACACCCAGTCTTCCAGGGCCCGCTCATCATCTGATGAGTCCTGGTCACGGCTGGCCCGCTTGCGCTGTACACGGCGCCGAGGATGTTCTTCTTCCTCCTCTTCTTCCTCTTCCTCGGAGCGGTCATGAACTCGGCTTTCATCATTGATGGAGTAATGACCAGTGTCCTCCATACTGTCAGAGTCCTTTTCTTCACCTGAGCTCTCCGTGTCTGTGCCACGACTTTCTGTGCTGGTACGGTTGGGGCCACCTTCATCCCCAGTCAAACTCAAACTCAAGTCTGAGGCCTCCACTTCAATGCCTGAGGATGTCTCCCTCCCCTCTTCTGCTCCAGACATCTCCTCTGGACTGCTAGATAGGCTTCCTGCACATTAATGAAGAATGGAAGGGGAAAATTGGGAAATATGATTGGGACTGCGATCAGAAGGATTTCCCACTGTAGTCTAAGAAACCATCATATCGAAAAACCAAGAAATAAATTTCAGGCAAAGTGTTTCCATTAAAAATGTTTATAAAGAGTAAGCTTCTGAAACTGGCATTTGCCTGTAATCCTGGCTATTGGGAGGCTTCGGCAGGAAGAACATGAGTTTGATGTCACCTGGGCAATTTAAGATGAGAACATATTTAAGAAAAAGATGGTTGGGGGGGGACTGGGGATGTAGCTCAGTGGTAGAAAAGGAAAAAATAAAGTTAACTGTTGTTTGTTTTTTGTTTTGTGTTTTGGTACCAGGGATCAAACGGAGGACCCTGCGTTTGCAAGGCAGGAGTGGTGCCACTGAGCTAAATTCCCGGCCCTGTTGTTTGTTTTTTGAGACAAAGTCTCACGATATAGTTTAGGCTGGTCTTGAACTCACTATGTAGCACAGGTGCCACCATGCCCAGCCCTTAAAAAAATTACCTCTTAAGAGGAAAATCTTATAAAGGACAACAAATTGAAAAGATCAAAACCACACACAAAGACACTTCAACAAAAGTGAAGAACTGCAGAATAAACTAAAATGATATTAAGAGCTGGATGTGGTAGGGACACTCTGGGAGACTGAGGCAGAAAGATTACAAGTTTGGAACCAGCCTGAGCAACTTAGTAATAATGTCTCAAAAATAAGAGAGAAGAAAAGAAACAAGAAAAAAGAAGAAAAGAAAAAAAGCGGGGGAAGGGAGAGGAGGGAAAGAAAAGTTTTAAAAGGGCTGTAGATGTAGCTTAGTAAGGAAGTCCTGAGTTCAATCCCCCACACTGCAACAAAATTCTCAAGAGACAAAGCTTTGGCATACTGTATGAAAGTACGCCTAATCCAACTAGGTGTTTTGTTGGATGGCATCCATTAAGTACAGCAAATAATTAAACTGTAAGAAAATCTCCAGCCAGTGCTAGCACAGCTATCTTCTTAGAGAAAGATGGAAAATAACTGATTTAAATCACTTCAACTTACGGATACAGAGTTAGGCCATTTTCTACTTCAAAAAAACATCTCCATCTCCTGCTGCCTAAATGCTGTTTTTTTCCCATAAGTTCCTAATACTCATAAAGAAAGAGAGTTGAAGGGATTTTTAAGTAGGGAATTGTAATCACTTGGTATGGATTCTTGCTCACCTTTTGGTAGTGAACATATTCAGACATACTTCCATTAGTTTTGTTAGTCACGTATTTTTAGTCTCTTTACTGAGACACAGTTTTATCAGGAAGCATACACAAAATTTTGTTGTTGTTGTTGTTTTCTTGCTATGTAGTTCAGGCTGGGCTTGAACTCACCATGTACCCCAGACTGGCCTTGAACTTGCGGCAGATCAACCTGCTTCTGCCTCCCCAGTGCTGGGATTACAGGCATGTGCTACCATGCCTGGCAACATACACAAGATTGATGAAAAACAGACCTATGCTAGTGGTACCTGAGAAGAAAAGTTCAGTGTATTCTTCGTTTATTATGTTGGTGGTTAAATAATTAGGTGACTACAATTAGAAACTCCATTCTTTTATCTAACACCAACCAAATCATATTCCAATGAGCACTTGGCAATGTTCTAGAGTTAACACAACCACGATTTCCTACCTAAGGTCAAGGTATGGAGAAAGGAAGGAGAGAAGGCATTGTAAGTAAACACAGCCTGCTCACTGCCTCTCCTCAGGATGACTTCAAATTCTATTCTGCCAGAAGTAAAAGCTGTTAGGAAAGGCAGACCAGCTGTATGATTCTAGTATAAGATATTCCACTCCGATACTGATGTTTAAGGATTCAAACTAGAGCACCTTACTGTCTAGTTATCTGGATTAGAGCAGTAATTTGTGACAATCACTAAAGCAATGGGATCCCTTTTCAATGAACTCTTAGGCAAAAGCCAACACAGAAAACAGATAAACAATACAAGTGCTTAGTTTCAAGTAATAACAGAAGGATGAGCGACACAAAAGCACCTCAACTAAGTGTGAAGACAACTGGGCTAGGAGCCAGGAAACAATTAAAAAATACACACAGAGAGGGCCAGGGATTTAGCTTAGCGGTTCTGCCGCCTGCCTCACAAGCGCAAGGTCCCGAGTTGGATCCCTGGGACCAAAAAAAAAAGCAAACTCTTAAAAAATACACACAGAGGGGCTGGGGATTCAGCTCAGTGGTTCCAGAGCCTGCCTTGCAGGCGCAAGGTCCTGAGTTCGATCCCCGGTACCCAAAAAAACCCCCCAAAATACACACAGAAATCTGAACCTAGGAACTATATTTGCTAAAACTGAGAAGTTTAATAGATGGAGTTTTTTGGTTTTTTTTTTTCTTTGGTACCTGGGATCAAACTTGGGACCTTGTGCTTGTGAGGCAGGCGGCGGAACCACTGAGCTAAATCCCCGGCCCATAGATGGGGTGTTTTAAAAATGAAATTGGGTTGAGCCTCGGAATGGAGAGAAGGGATGAAAATACCACAGCTGGGCTGGGGATTTAGCTCAGTGGTTGCACTGCCTGCCTCGCAAGCTCAAGGACCTGAGTTCGATCCCCGGTACCAAAAAAAAAAAAGAAAATACCACAGCTAACAGGTCTGTGGTGAGAAGGAAAAATTAAACATCAAAATCCCTAAAATTTATTGTTAGAATTATGATTAACAATTCAGACTCTAGAGGCCATTCTGGCCATTAATATAAGGGCCAAAGTGTATCACAAGCTCAGCAAGAGGGCCCCAATAGTCAATGACCAAAATCTAGCTCAGGAGTTGGCAAATTTTTTCTGCAAAGGGCCAGATAATAAAAATGTTAGGCTTTGTAGACCATGTGGGACTGTCACAACTACTCAATCCCATTAGCATAAAAGCAACTTCACCAACACTAAAACAACTCATAGATACTACATACATGAATTGGCATGACTACATTCTAATAAAACTTAACAAAAAATAAGTGGGAAGCTGGCTTTGGCTTGTAGGTTAAAGTTTGCCAATTCCTGACATAGTTAATAGCCAATCTTCAAATTAATAGTATACGTCAGGTTTCTCCAGAACCCTGTGCCTTTCAACTAAACCCAGTGAAAAGAAAAGGGAAGGAGGGAGGAAAAGGAAAAGGAGGGAAGAAAGGTAAGAAGAATTCCACTTGGTTTGGTTTGTAACTTCCTCCAGTGGCAGTGGCAGGGGATCAGGGGTGGGGGTGAGGTTCATTTGAACCCTGGGCCTCATGTTCTACCACTGAGTTAAATTCCTAGGCCAGTAACTTCCTCTTATGATCTAATATCTCTATCAAACTATTACCTACCATGGAAAAAAACCGCTTAATATAAATACTGGGGAACCTCATCTTCCTCCAAATTCCCCTGTTCCTACCACCCACTGGATCTTATTTTGCTTCTTTATTAACAGAATTTTCTAGGTCCTGGCCACCTTTACAGCCTTTCAGAATTTCAAACCATTTGACCTCTTAGAAGCACACCTGTCTTACTGATCTTCTAAAAACATCAGATAAAATTTGAAGAAGCCAAAGTACCAGATAACCCAAGATGTTTCCAGTGTAGTTTCCCATACTCAAAACAACACAGGAAAAGTTCCTTCCCTCCACTAATATCCAGGTTTCCACTCTATCCTGGGGGGAGGAGGAGGACCTCAGCTGATAGTAAAAATAGCTTCATCTTCATTTTGGCCCCTTACCATTAGCTAAGTCTGTTCTATCATCTGTGCTGCTCCCTTTGCTGGACATCTTGAATGATGTTTACTGTAAGCAGCCTGCATTTGGGAGGAAGAAAATGAAATAATTAGAAAAACCACCTGGGAAAGACAACAAAAAGGACAAGAAGATTTAACAATGTACAAGCATTGTCAATTTTATAAAAATTGTGTGTGTTTAACAGGACTTTTCAGCTGCTGAAAAGCACATCAGATCCCCTCCCCCAATATCAAATTCCACAGAGGGATATATATTTTTGGGAGATTAACTGCTATCTTTTTACCTTATTGAGTAACTGGCAGTGCTTCTTTTTCAGATAGGAAAGAGGAAACTGAAATAAAACCTGGAACAGCAGGCACATATCAAGTGACAGGTACTGCAAGCAAGGAACCTCAATACAGAAAGCTAGCTTCAGCACTGCCCTCTAGGCAAGAATCTTCCCTTCTAAATGACAGTCTCATGTACCAACAAACACCGTAAAAGTTGTTTCACAACATGAAGAGGTGAGTCAGATTCTGAGTATTATTTTCCACACAAATCAACAGAGAAGAAACCAAACTTTTGGTAAGAGCCTGTGCTTTATGTCCACTCAAATGTCCAGTTTCAAGCTTATTATAGGCACAGATACTAAGAATTGTACGAAGTAGAACTAGAATGTAATCTCAGGAGCACCTAACCCCTAAGAAAGAATCTTAATATTCTCTCCCTCTCTGGATTAATAGTCAGTGATCAAGTGGAAAGGTAGGGAAGCTGCTTTCATATAATAGCAAACATTATTTCACCTTACTCCACCAACTTTCACCAGACTTATCTTTCTGGCAAAGTCCTAACTGGGAACCAGGGTATCTAGCTTATTTCTATTATGCCGCTATCACCCCCCCTCCCCCCCACCCCCCACTGCCACCTCCAGCAAATTCCAAAGAGCAAAGAATAATATTATTCAGACCAGAATCTTGTTAAGCCCTTTCAGTGCCTTGGACAAAGGGCAATGGGTAAAAGACAAAGTATGATTATGACTCCAGTTCTTGTACCCAGGCACACTGGCCTCTAATCTTTCAACAGCCCTTTCATTCCCATAACAAATATCCCAGAAACAGCCCCATCCTTATCCTTAACCCCTACTTTCATCTACCAAAATCTACACTGTTCATAAAAGCTGTCATCTGCCAAGAGACAGCTGCTCAAAGACTGCTCACAGTAGGCCAAGATGGGGGAGTAAAACTACCACAAGAACACAGCTGAGGGTGAATTTGAGGAAGGGACACCTGGAAGGGTGACTATGGAAGACAATGACAAACAGATGTGTGAAGTCACATAAAGAAAAACTGAGGAGCTGTTTGCAGAACAGGCTCTTTTCCTCCTCTTTCTTTGATGTTTGTATTTCTACACAGCATTTCTCAGGCACTTGCTTTTTTCTTTCAATAGTCTCTGTTTAGATTCTTTAGCATCTCAGCAGTATCTTCCCCCTCATCTAGGGCTCAAAATTAATTACTTGCAAAATCCTATGAATTAAGGAAAATGATTGTACTTCTCTGGCAGGATTAAAAACTATGGTCATAAGTAGACCTCTGTATCATGGTCAAAGGGGAACAGATTTGATGTTTTCCCACTTCCATAATTAAAACTGTCTACCATACCATACTTCTCACCCCACTCTTATCCACTCCCAGAGAATTTAAAAAAGCAGCTCCAGAGAAACTTTCTCAAAACTAATTATTAACTTCTAGAGGAACCCAGACCACCTGAATTTGAGTCAGAACTGCTTTAAAAAAACAAATTTGCTTTCCCAGCCTCCATGACCAGGAAGAACCAAAACCTAAATTACCCACTTCTGAGAAGTAGGGAAAAAGAGAGCCATGAGGTTCAACTCATACCTAGAGGTTATAGAAGAGTCTTTTAGGGAATCTGGCTTAAGGTACTTTCAAGAAGGAAATTTCTAAACTGAGAGCTGTCTTGTTACAAAAACCTGTAATCTCTGCTCTTGGGAGACTGAAGCAGAAGGGTCAAAAGTTTAAATCCCACCCAAGCAAATTAGCTCAAAACAAAACAAGACAGGGGATATAGGTAAGTGCACAGGCCCTGAGTTCAATCCCCACCAAACAAACAAACCAAATTTCTTTGAGGAAAACAGTTGAATTTACTGTAAATTCAGAAAAAGAAAACTCTATAAATGCTTACATCAACCATATTTGGTCACACCATTAGCATATTTGTTTCTTTGTTTGGTTTTGGTTTTTTGAGACAGGGTCTCTCTTTGTAGTACAGGCTGGCCCTGAACTCAGTATGTAGCCCAGGATGGCCTGGAACTCATGGCAATCCTCCTGCCTCAGCCTCCCGAGTGCTGGGAATACAGGAGTACTCCAGAACATCTGGCAGCCATTAGTGTATTTTATGCTCCTGATGAGCTATTTAATTATCCCTGGACTTCATTTTCTCTATAAAATAACAGGTTGAATGTACCTAATCCAAAAATCCCAATGCCCCCAAATCTGAAACTTGTTAAGCACTGACATGACATTCAAAAAGTTTCAGATTTCATGGGCCAGGGATTTAGCTCAGTGGTTTCACTGCCTGCTGCGCAAGCGCAAGGACCTGAGTTCGATCCCTGGTACCAAAAAAAAGTTTCAGATTTCAGAGCATTTTTTTCATATTAGGGATGTTGAACAAGTCTATACAAATATTTCAAAATTTGAAAAATAATGAAATGTGAGACACTTCCAGTCCCAAGCATTTCAGATACGGGATATTCAAGCAACAGTAATTCCACAGATGCTGTAAATAAGCACAATTTTATGCTAAAACTTCTGCAAAATGATACTCTAGGGGCTGGTGATGTAGCTCAGTGGCACCCTGCCTGCCTGGCAGGTGCAAGGTCCTGAGTTCAATCCCTGGTATGCGGTGGGGTGGGGGGGAATGCTCTGGAACAGTGGCCTCCAAACTTTATGAACCTCTCTCAGTAAAAATTTTGAGAATTCCAATAGGTAGGAACACACACGCAGTCAATTCACATTAAATATTAACTTTTCTAGAATACCAAATACATATTTCAACATTATTTTTTTATATCCCACCAGATTATCTTGCATATCCCTAAGTATATTATATATTAGTTCCCGGCTACTGTGCCTCCTCATGATAGGGTGTATTTTTATTTTTATCTCCCTTGTTACTCAGCCCAAACTTGCTCTGCAGAGCTCGTTTTTCCCCTTGCCCTTCTGTTTCCTTCTTACCTTTAATAAATGTAAAACTTTGCCACGGTTTAAAAAAAAAGGATATTAGTTCTCACTAATATTTCCCACCTAAAATTCACATGTTGAAGCCTTAACTCCCTATGTAATAGTATTTAGGGATAGGACCTTTGGGATATAATTAGGTTTTGATGACATCATATAAGTGGGGCCCTCAAGAAAGCTTTAGTACCCTCAAGAAAGCTTTAGATCCCAGAGAGTTCTCCTTTTCTCTCATGCCACATAAGAACACAGCAAGAAGGGTGATCTCTACAAAACAGGAAACAAAAGAAAAACACCTTCACTGAAACCAATTATGCTGGGACTTTGATCTTAGACTTTTAGCCTCCAGAACCATGAGACAATAAATCTCTGTTGTTTGAACCACCAGTCTTTGGCATTTATTATGGCACCCCAAGCAGTTACAAGACAATGTCCAAATTAAAGCAGGTGGAGATACTGTAATTGTGGTCCAGGACTCAAATAAAGGAGCTGCCCTAGAATATCTTCTATTCATGAAAGAATATAATTATTTTATAATCTGAGGCTAGGGACCACATTTGATTCAAACCCAAACTACAGTATCTTCTTCACTGTTTAGTATATTATATAACCAACAAATCTACTATCTTATGATGATGAATTTCCAAGCAAAATCCAGTCTAGAGCAAACTATGCTGAAGTAGGAAGAGCTGATGAGCTCACTGCCCCACGTGGCTGGTGTTGAATTAATTAGCTCTATTGCCTGTACTCTAAAAATAACCATAACCTCTGCCAAACTGAAGGTTAAAGAGCAAACTGTGGATGATGGTGGAAAAAAGACTCAGGTATCATAATTTCACTAACAAATTCCTGTAACCTACTTTTTTATGTCTTAATAAAAATGAGGCCTCAAAATTTTTAACCAACTGCATGATAAAAATCTTAACTACATGGGCTAGGGATTTAGCTCAGTGGTGCTGCTGCCTGCCTTGAAAGCACAAGGTCCTGAGTTCAATCCCCAGTACCAAAACAAAACAAACAACAACAACAAAAAAATCTTAACAACCAAGCAGAAGAGGAATTAATATGTTAAATAAGGAGACTTTGTAAAACAGGTACCAAGTTTCTCTTGTTTAAAAGTCATGGGGGATGGGCCGGGGATTTAGCTCAGTGGTTTCTCCACCTGCTGCGCAAGCGCAAGGACCTGAGTTCAATCGCAAAAAAACAAAAACAACAACAACAAAAAAATCATGGGGGTTGCTTTTTTACCCAATACTCAATGAAAAATCTATACAAGAGAACATGTATGCTAGTACAGTTGGGCATCCCAATGCAAAAAAAACCACAAAAAACTAAACTAAAAAACCCAAACGTGTAAGTTGCACAATATACAAAAATCAATTCAAAATGGATTGTAGGCTGGGGGTATTAACTTAATGGTAGAGCATGTGCTTAATGTGCAAAAGTCCTTGAGTTCAATTGCAGGACCCAATAAATAAATAGATATACAGATAAATAGATCATAGACCTAAGTATGTAAATTAAAACACTTTCCAAAAGAAAAAGAGATAATCTTTGTGACCTCCAGTTAGGCAACTATTCCTTAGACTTTTTTTTTTTTCGTACTGGGAATGGAACTCAGGGCCTCGTGCTTGCCAGGTAGGCAGTATGCTGCTGAGCTACATCCCCGGCCCAGCAACTACTCCTTAGAATAGAACACAACCACAAAAGAAAAATTAACTGAACTTATCAAAATTAAAATTTCTTCAAGAGACTTAAGAATGAAAAGCTGCAGACTAATGTCTGCAAACATTTTTGATAAATGACAGTAACCAGAATATATTTTAAAG